GCATACGGGCAGCAAAAAATTAATACATTTTCTTAGAATTTTTTAAATAGCTGACAGACAATGTATTGGCAAAAAAAACAGCAAAATAACAAAAAAAGAAAAGTCCCTTTTCTCAGAAAATCCTGACATTTATAGAATCGGATAGCACCGACTAAAACAGCAACAATATAAACAAAAAAACTTTAATTGCTAAGTTGCAACAACGTTTTTTTTTTCTTCTTCTTTCCGAGCAGTGAAGGAAGGAAAGGATAGAAAAAGATTCTCCTTTTTCTTTTTCTGCCATCACATAACGCTAAATGGGGATTACAACCAGCCAAAATTTGACTGAACTGTTAACAACATCATCTCCACAATCACCATTACTAAGCTAACAGAACTGACAGTAATAATAACAGTAACCACCATCTACTGGTAAACAGCTTTATTTAAATTCGTTGCTTGATTTGTAGAATAGATCTATATAACTTTCTTACCCCGTAGTAGTATTCAATTTTGCAAATTTTATGGAGGTGGGGAGGAGTAGAGGGGAAGACCGAGTAGCCGCAGTTTTTATACAGACAACTGAACGTCGTTTTATAGCTTCATCGTTGTTGATAAATCATAGCTGATAACGTTGAAAACGTGCCGCCAACAAAAAATTGTATCCCGGTTCAAAATTTTAACCGTCGTCCTAAAACTCCTCTACACTCTTCTGTTTCTAATAATTAAATACATCTTAAATTTACGTTTCTTTTCCAGTTTATTTTTATTTGAGTGCATAATTTCGGCAGCTACTACAAAACTGCTCTGTCGATAATCGCGTTCGCTTTGTACTGCTCACGGCCCATCAGAAAGTACTGTCCAAAAAACTGTTATATCAAAAGCTGTAAACTTAATATTACTGCTTTCAAACGAGACTAAAAACAACGTCTTTTACCCAAACTGAATTACAATAGTTATGAAAATGAAAACAGCTGAATTGTTTGTTGAAAAAGCTTGAAATCAAAGGTTTTCCTGCAGTATTTTTTGATGCTCTGTAGAAAGTAAACTGAATATTTCACTGAATGCCAATATACGTCTGCAGACTCACGAGACATTATTAATCCCTCTGTTATTTGTTCCATCTATCGCTGCCATTCCTAATTACCTTTTTTTTCCCCTTCCACTTTCCCTTCGGCCCCTTCCTCTCTCCTACGAAAAAAAAAAGACATTCATTAGTGAGGAAGTAAAGAAAAAAAAACACTAAAAACTTTAATTTTCAGTTGTTTCAGAATAACAGCCCAGCGCTAGACATATCGGAATTTGTTGTCCGCAAAAACCATGTTTTTTTTTCTTTACTTATTTTTTTTTTGTTGTTGTTGTTTTTGTTGTTGTTGTCTGTGCATTACGATACGGCTTAACAAATCACCCATACTGCCAACAACAAAACATAAATATGATTTTTATTTAGGATTGCTGTAAAAAAAAAGAAACCAAGAACAACAACAAATTCAGACAATCATTTTCCCTCCTCCCCAAATTACTAATAATCAGTAAATTTTTTTTTCTCGCCTTTAAAAAACTACATGTGACTTGCTCCTTGAAAAATCAACACACATAGACACACACGTAATGTTTAAAAGAAAAAACAAAGCTATTTTTTTGATCCTTCATTAGTAAAAAGAAAAAATGGAAAAAAAAAAACAGACATATTCAGCGGTGAAAAATATAAAACAAAACTAAAATTCTTTCTTTTTCTTTTTTCATTTTTCCTTATTAGACTGCATACAAATCTGTTTCTTCTGTGCTTCTTTTTTTTGGCTTTATATTGTGAAGTACGGGGAGAAGAGAGCTGAAAGCAAGAAACTGCTATAATTTTCTTTTCTGCTACCTAAGTTATGGAAACAACGATGAGTCAACCTCACTATAACTTACTGAAGCATTCTGATGCTTAACCGCTAATAAATAAAATGCCCATATTTATTGTCCATAAATTGTTACGACATTTTTGCTATTCTTTCAAACAGATTCCCTGTCTTATAAATTTTTTCACAGCCCCAACGGCTAACGTCACGACGAAATTTACAGCAACATAATTACACTACAGCAAAAAAAACCAATACGGTATAATATCAGCTGAAAACTAATCTGTTTCCTGTTCTTTTTTTTCATCTAATAAAGTGACTCTTCTCTGAGAATTACTTCTTTTTCCTCTTTTCTTCATTATCCGCACCCAAACACAAATAAGCGTTGTTCAATTTTATTTACATGTAAATAAAGAGACAACGGTGATTACAGCACTAAAGAGTGACCAAAGATAATATCAAAATTAAACAGCTAATAGAGGAAAGAAAAATACGATTGAATGACTACAGACTGCTGATAACCGATCAAAAAAATTCAAGAAACATTTCATAAAGTATTGATGTTGAACAAAAAAAAAGAAATAATTTCTAGGTCAACATTAACAAATTAACAATTGTCATGAAATCCATATAGACGTTAACTTGGAAAAAGAGGGCCATAATTACCTTACAGCCTGCAGCAGCATTACTTCATTCTTCAGCGAAAATAAAACAAAAAAATATAAGATTACGCACTAAAAAAAGCAATAATAATACGAAAAAAACAAGAAAAAGAATCCGGTTAATTGTTACCACAACATATAGCTGCATCAGTTCTGTACCCAGTTTTCCTGTCCATCTCATCTTCGTTCTTCAATTCAAACTTACCCTTATATACTGTATATTTAGATATCAATTTAAAGCTAATGATAAGAAGTATAACATACTAAACAGTCAGGAAAATGACAGTACAACAGCTTTGAGAGAAGGGTTTTAAAAAAAATCAAAGACAAACATTTTGCGAATAGAAAAACAGTTCAAATGTTTCGAATGCAAGAAAAATGACAACCTCTGAGCTCAGACGTGCAAACAGATGAATGAAGAATGCAAACTAATCCCATAAGGTACAACTGAAACAAGATATTTACAATCTCCATCACCCAAATTGCACGGTTCGCTAGCTAATACCCGTCTATCGACCGTCCCAGAGATTGACAAATTTTTCACACAGCATTAAAGGTGGAATACAAAAACCAATGCAAATAAAAAATGAATGAAGAAGCAGAAAATGTTGGCTAGAATAAGACAGCCAGTATAATTCTTTCACATGCCCAACACTCACCCTTAACAGGAAAATCCGAACAAAATACTACTTAGGTACAATTCCCCAAAGAATCCTTTCCATACAAATTCTCGAAATACATACACTTGTTCCAAGATTTCCAATAACCTCAACCAAAGAATTATATGGCAAGTCATCAGGTCTCACAAAACTCAATGAATCAAACATAATTAAAGGGATAGCAAACGCGATATTAGAATAAATTATTAATAGTACATAAGAAGCAAAATAGTACAATATAAAGTGTCAAATAATAACTAGAGAACTGTTACCACGAATTAGTCAGCTCAGTCCACCGGTTTACGTCGGAAACACCGACAGGCTGACGGCAAATGAAGGAACTCTTGTGATGAAAGACGTGCTTCGAGATCATCACCCACAGTAAAGACTAGTGATCCTACGCCATCCAAGTATATGTTTTGAGTATACGCTAAGCGAAATCTGAAAAGTTGACCAGTAAAAACAACCGGTTTTTTCAGTAAGCCCAAAAAATAGGAAAAAAATTAGCAAATCAAGCCTCACCCATCTCCTTCCTGTAAATACATGTCGAAGAACCAACATCCGTGTCCACAACCTGGCTGTTTTGGAAGGAAATAACACTGACGGCCATATTCAGGAAATTCAAGGTATTCGCTTTCCTCCTCATTGGGAGCACGAACTCGGATAGCAAATGCTTTTTTGGCAATAGAAACAAACCCTATTTCAATCTAAAAAAGAATCCATAAACCAAACGCTTTCCTCAAAGAAAAATAAAAAATACTAAACAAAAAAATCTTGTTGTCTGGTAAACTTGGAAAATATTGTTACAGACAGACATTCTCCTCAAAAAATATTGCTTGAAAAAATGATAATCCATACGTAATTTCTTTGAAAAATGAAAAAAAAACAAACACTTTTCTACCAATAAGCAATTACTCCTTTCAACGTCAAATATTCCCACCGCACAAAAAATCCAACGAAAGAAAAAGGAAAGAATCAATATAAAATGGCATCCACTTTAACTTCACAACAAGCTTTTAAATTTTTTCAAGATACATATTCGAACGCTAATTATAAATTAGACTGACAGCACCTATGCGGAACAAAACCGGCAAGAAGCATAAGTTTTTCTACTCCGCATGCTGAATGAAAAGGTCGTGCTTTCAAACAAACTATGTAATCCCCGAATTCCATCAGTGCGCATAAAAATCAAATGCAACTTCTTAAACATCCCTAATTTTGACTCTAAAACACCGATTTTAACAGCAAAACTAGCAGTATCTATTATAGCCCTACTTTCAAAATGTCATTAAATATCTCAACAATAGTTTCCCCTCAAAGACATACCAGCCAACAAAATCAATTCACCTGTTAACAAAGACTCAGAGATGCAAAATAAACTCTTTCAAATGCCCTTTCTTGCTCACTTCGTTTAGTTTAAAAATAACGTACTTGTCTTGCTTCTACACTGCACTGATTCTCAAGCTCCTCACCAATATCGCCATAACGATTCACAGAAAATAAGCAACGCCGCATTTTACCACTACGGGACAGCGTTTCAGAACCTGCAGAACCTTGCTGCCCATTCAATTTCTGCTCCTCCTTAAAAAATCTGTTATTATTAACTCTTAAAACAGTTTTAACAAATACCTAATAAAGCCTGGTAAATCTCAGGTTCCTTGGCACGGTTAATTAACAAGTAAATACAACAACAACAAAAAAAAAAAAAAAAAAAAAAAAAAAA